CGCCATGAAGGGGTGCGAATTCAGCGCGAATGACTTCCTCAGCAATCCACATCAGTCGATGACGGGAGAGCTCCGCTGGTCTGGACAGGCTGAGGGCAGCTCCCAAGAACATGGGGGCTTCTCGATCTCTCCTGCAGCGCATAGGACAGCAGCTTTGCCGGACTCCCACCGCTTGAATGCGGCGGATGAGCTTCAAAGCACAAGCCTGCTCTTATGGGTAACTACGGCCCTCGGAATCAAATCTTACCATCCCGGTCCCACCTTGCGCGTTCTTCACGCAGAGATCTGCCTGAGCTCGCCCACCAACACCCGAAGGCGCACCAAATCAGCCAGGCCCTACGCCGTAAACCCTAGGGTTTAGGGTACTAATATAGTACCCGAAGTAGTAGGATCCTTATTATAAGGACCCCAGAATAAGGTACCCTAATTTTCGGAAAGTCCCTTCATTAAACCCTAACATGAGACGAGCCCCGATCTGAACCAAACCTTAAAGGCCTGTATTGCGGATCTCATCCTGGGAGAGCTCTTGCGCAGCTTTCAAGGGCCCAAAGCCGCCTGAAGTCCCAGAAGCGAAAACACATCTTGGAGTTCTCCAAATTAGGATCCCTTTTGAGGTCCCCCAAATAGTAGGGCACCCTTATAGAAAGGGCCCCAAAAGGGACCCTAATTTAGAGAACTACCCACATGTTGGAGTTCAGCTGAAGAGAAATCCACATGAAATGTGACCTGATTCAATGAAAGCAGGTCGTCGTGCCAAATGGCACAGCGGAACAGAACATTAACATGATGTGTCGCATCTCTACCCAGGTCAGAGATGTCATGTATGCAATTGAACAAGTGCAGAAACAACTATAAGTCTATAAGGTGATAACTGCATGCAAACAACGACAACACTAACCTGGGGGGTGAATCAGCGCGCACACACACACACCCATATAGACGAACCAGCACATACAGAGCTGCGCATCTGTCTCCGCATGAATACATGCGCAGGGCGAAGAGGAGATCAACCAAACCAAAGAAACATAGTATTTTGGCGAGAGAGTTAGGAAGAGACCCAACCGACATAGCCGAGTGACAAGGCGGGGAAGCGCCTCCTGATTCTCGATGCGCGCGTAGAAGTCCACAAATCTTGGGCTCTGCTTGCTTGAGGCACTGTGACGTTTTACCGTGTTCAGAACTTTGCTGGGTCAGACTTGGCTGTGTTGGGTTAGGACCGGCCAACAGAGACTCTCGCTGTTTGTGGATGCTCGTGCCAACCAAGTGTTTGACTTCAATAAGCCGCAGAGGTTTGGCCAGGTGCTGACGGTGGTCATGGCTCATACTAATAACAGGAGAAAGCTGAGCACCTCTCACGTACATGTTTCAGGGTTTAGAGACCAAGTTGGATGCAGTTGAAGTTTCATATTGGACGAGCCGTCAAGCTTCAGTATCTGAGTCTTCTCGACTGCTATTCATCCTAGAATCCTAGACTTCCTCGGCAAACTAGCGCGCAGACTGAGACAAAGTGCAAACCGGCACTCCTGAGGACGCGACGGCCGCAACTGCCGCACCGCCTATCTTCCACAGGATTCCAGGACTGAGATGCAGTTCACCCGTGCCGTATATACAGTCGAAACTCAGAAACGAGAGGGATGCCTCCGATTTGTCTAAAGTTGCCTATGACTTCTGGCTTTCTTGTGTTACGGTGAGTCTTGTAGTCTTCCAAGAATAATTCATATACCACTAGAGCACCGACCCCGAAGTATGCGACCATTGTTTGGGACGGCCAGAACATGCTGGGAGATTGTGCTGTCTCTTTGGCTTCGCTTGAGGTCCGGGGCATTACCCTTTGAGCGTGGCAAATGGAGGACCACTTCGAAGCCTATACAATATAATATAATATAATGTAGTATAGTACAATATTTATATTAATATTATTGGGAATATGAAACACAAATACTGCAAAGCATCCTAAATCGCAAACCTCGGAGCCCCCAAGGCCCTGAATCTTAAAGAATCGCTGGCACCCTGGCAAACGAAAACTGTTGTGCTGAAGACTTGAAGCCCGACAGTCCCGTGTGAAAGGGACGTGCCACGCACCACAACCCGAATTAAGAGAACCATCGGCTGAAATTCACACATTTTCCGCAAACAGTTTGCCACGCTTGAGTATATATCTTTTCTTGTGAGAGTGGCTTCGACGGATTTTCACCTGCTCCTGCCCGATGGCCTGCGGCACCTCGTGGTAGGACTTCTGAAGCGCGTCCTGTGCGCGAAGACGGGCCGAGGTACGGTCACACGCAACGAGTGAATCAATCGTACGAGATCAAGCCACCTCATCAGCAAACGCAGGGTGTTCGACAGCACCTCACATCCCTAATTAAACTCTTGGGAAATCATGGTTGCATTGCATGTCGTTCCCTTCGGTCTGGTCCTGAGGCACCACGCGGCCGGTGTGGGTGGCACGAGTGGCGACGCGGGCTTGAACCGTAGTCCAGTTGGCGACCTGACAGCTTGAATGGGCCGCGGCACGGTTGCTAACTTCACACCTCAAGCCCGGTAACTCAGCGTTGCCAGCAATATGCCGGCAGCTTCACATCTGCCAATACCATACAAACGAGAAAACGCTGCAGGAGGTGGCATGTGGAACATGCTCACAAACGCAGGTGCAAACGAGTCAACTCAAGCACCGTGAAACTCGAGAGCGTACCAAAACACAACATGGATCCCAGCCACCGAGGCCCCTGCGACATGGTAGATTGCTATCCTGTACTGCGGATGCTCCTGGCGTGTATGCATTTGCCACGAATAGTTCGGCAGCAAAGCCTGCGGTTTACATGCCCGACAGCTGCATACCTTGTAGACCACTCTGCAGCAGGGGAGACCGGCGAACTATCGCTCCTTTCGGATTCGACGAAACTCAGAGGCATACCTTGGCAAGAAATGGGATGCCATCCCTATGATTCTTTTAGGTTCAGTGCAGTAGCCGTGCCGTCTCGCGGCCTCCCATAAGCCCCCGACCACTCAGCATCGTGAAGGGATCCATCGACCCACACGTGTTTGCATCTTTGGAGTGCTGCCTTCCGCAAGCCCGATCTGCGAAGCGAACTGCCGTTCACTATACTTAATACTTAATGCCTAAACGAAAGCAACTGATTGTATGTACACAGGTGGACATAGACAGAGAGACACCGAGAAGAAAGAGTGAGAACATACCGAAGTATGAGCCGATATGGGGGGAAACACACCCAGATGGATGTGGATGACAGAGACGGATGGAAACACTCTCTGCTGTGATTCCGTGCGGGCATTCATCTGTCTAGCTTCAGTACTCTCGGACCACATCCCAAGGCCAGCAGTCCCGCGGCCTCTTGCGCAATTTCGGCGCAGTAGCCTGCAGCATGCGGGCGGGGTCAGGCGACCGCGATGACGACTAATCCGACAGTAATTGCTGCAGCCATCAATGTCATCTGCCTCCTGCACCCGTTCCTCCTGCTTGTCATAATCAGCATCGATGTCACCGACACTGACTTTATGCCAAACTGTCATCGCACCTTCTTTTCTAGTCACTGCTCTCATGAAGGCCATCACGCTTGGAATGGACATCATGATCAGAGCGACGTCGTTATTGGTGTCATCACCATCGTCTTCAGCAGCTTCAGCAACAGCATCGTCGTCATCATCATCATGTCATCATCTTCATCATGACCATTAAATGTATGACCTTTATCATCACCATCATCACCACCACCATCACCATCATCATCAGGAATCAGAATCATCATCATCACCACCACCATCATTATCATCATCACCACCACCACCACCATCATTATCATTATCACCACCACCATCATCATCATCGCTGTTATCAATTTTCTCATTTTCAGCAAAAGCAACACCTACCACTGGCACCAGCACCACCATTGTTGCCATGAAGATGCGCACGGGTATCACTCTATCAGTATCTTCATCCTCTTCGTCGTACTCGTGATTCTGATAGTCACCGCCACGGTTAGCAGCATCATCACTATGATGCTGACCCGAGTCGTTTCCTGCCTGCTTCGCGGTGTGTAAGTGCGCCGGCCGAAGCCGAATTCCGTGCGACGTAACCTTAGCTTCGGCGCGCTGCTTCAGGTAGCCGAGGACAGTGCATCTACAGACGAGCCTGTGCTTTGCAGCCCTAACATCAGGAGAAGGGATTGCACCAAATGCCGTTGTGTTACCAAAAGTCGAGAGCAACACAAAGGACCTGAAAGCCTCCGCTACATAGGAGCCTTAATACTTAGCTTAGGGTGTTGGAGCACGTTGTACTAGAATTATAATAAGGCACTCCCAAAATATTTAGTATTTAGGCCCCTATACTATTTTGCCAGCCTCGAAAGCGCCAAGCATCAAGGCCCCAAGCTGCCAAGAGACTAGGCCACTCCGGCAGCTGTGTGCGGAAGCGGTCCAGGTCGATCTGTACCTGGGCGCATCTGGTACCCTGTTGGGGCCATCTTAAAAATGATCATTTTTAATCCTTATTAGGCTTATTAGGGCTTTATTATAACAAACATGTAAAATTGTATCCAACAAGAAGGACCCAGGCATACTGAACTGCAGCGGTAGTGCCTTGGACACTGTGTAAACATAGGGCAAGTTCTTCGACTGCCCCATCAAGTTCAATTTTGGTTTTACTCTAGTTTTAATAATGGCGACGAAATCCAGTTTTTCGGCATTTTGATACTTCAGCCTTCCAACCGGCACCACTAAGTGCTGAAAGGGTGAGCATCGTTCGCATCACCTGCTCAGCTCTCAAGAAGCGCCTCCATGGAGTAAGCATCGTGAACATCAACTGCCCTACACCTACATACACAAACACGGACACGGAGACACACACACACACACAGAGACTTTAGCTTGCCTACTTCAGCGCCAACCCTGGTCGGAGAGGTCGGTGGCAAAGTCGGAGCAATCGAGATCTCCAGTATGAGTTGCTTGGGAAGCCCCATACCGGCAGGGCAGCCACGTTTAGTTCACCTTGAGAGCCCTCGGAGAACTGATTTGCAAGCGAGGAGCAAAGATGGGGAGTGCAAAGTAGTCGTTGCGAGACCTTGGCCGAACAAGATGCTGTCTGCGGCCGCCTGCTCAGATATGACATCGAATTCCAAGGCGGGCACAGCCAGCGCACGACGTGGGATTTCCCCGCCCCCATGGCTCCAGCAGTATACCTGGGCGGCTGGTCTCCGGGCTTGCCGACTTCGGGAAAGCTGCACTGGCACGATAAGTTCGACGGAAAGCCACAGCTGTGTCTCTGCAGATATCTGCGGTACCTCTTCAACCCTTCCTGAGCAGACAACATACCTTGTAGGGCCGATTTCACTGCCACGTCGCACGATCCACGGACGCTCGTCGGGCAGCCCACTGGCCAGAACATCTTGCAACAACTCATCCTTCACCGGGGATACAGGTAGTTTGCAAGAGCTGATCTGGGCTATGTGCAGATGTGTCTCGATGATGGGCGCTTTTTCTCCATTCGCCTATGGCTGCATGATACCCATGGCATCCCATGGCCAGCAGCAGCCCCCGGACACATGCTTCCCCTTGCAAAACAAGCGGCACGCATCGAGACAGTGTCCTGCAATCGCTGCCTCCGCTCGGTGTAGTAACCATGGTAGTCCGCGTCCAGTCGATTGCGGATGTCGGCAAAGAGCCCCGAGCTGTTGACCGGCTCAGAGGCCTGGTAGTTCCTAGGCTGTGAGGCTCGGACGCACCAGGCACCAAACACATCCAAACACGACCTTCGTGCCGAGAAAGGATCGTACCACAAACCCTCACCCTGAACCCTAAACCCTGAACCCCAAACCCTAAAGGGAAGGAGCGATTGATGGGGCCTTGACCCTTGCAAGCCGCACCCCTTTGCGCCACATTTCGTGGAACTGCAGCCGTGTGGCTCGCTGCTGGGCTTCTCCCAGTCCTAGGACGCCCCACATGCTTTGGAGGGCAGGCTCCGTCTGAACGAAAGTCATGAATCGGACCCTGATGCCGCAAACCTTGACTTCGGGACTCCTGAGCTCATCATACCGCCGTTGTCAGCAGGATCCATCTGTAGGAATGTCGCGTTCAAACAGAGTGCGAAATGCAGACCACGTCACTCCCTGATGCTACATGGTCAGACCTTCCTAAAAAGCACTTCGATGGCCTACAAGTCCGAACGACCCCCGGAGCCCAGGTTTCACGGTGAGGCTGCGGCATATTCGGGATCCACCTGCCAGAGGTACTGCAGGGGCATGAAAATGCCTCGCCACGTACGAGCACTTCGACAAGTTGGGCTCGTTCTCGGGCTCAGAGTTGCGGAATCACCGTCTCAGGTCGTTTGTTTCGTGGGAGTGCGAGTTAGGCTCAAGGCCAAGCTTCGGACTGCTCGTCCTGCCAAGAATGAGGCATAGAGGCTCAGAAGTGGCGGCTAGCTGTTTGGCAGCCTTGTCAATGTGCAGTCGCACATTCAAGCCTGAAAACCTGACGCCCTAGCAGCTTCTGCCCTGCCCGGAGCCCAAATGGAGACTCCTTCAGTGCCTCACCTTCGCAAGCCCTGCTGAAACTGCACAAAAGCACAGACCGCCAAATCTTCCCCAGAAGCAAAGGCTCCCGGGGTTAAGACAGCCTTCTTCAGATTCGACAACCTCCTTCCTGCAAAGAGAAATGAGTTTGAGGTCGGAGCTGGTAGCGGAGTCCGGGCCCATAGTCCTCCACAAAGTTTGGTGGCACTTTCACGGTCGTAGCTGCTAGCTTGAGGCTACTATGAGGGCTTGACACTTAGGTATAGTGTTTCAGGGGGCGCTGCAAGAAGTAGGGCTCATGGCTGTAGTGGTCTACGACTCAGGTTCCGGCTCATCTGAAGTTGAAGCTCACATGTCCCATGGCTTGGGGTGAAAGCCCGGAGTCCCGGCGAGTGGAGGCTTGGCCTTGAGGGCTCCTGTTCTAAAGCAGCTCGAGGGTTGCAGCTTGGGGGTGGCCATGTCGGAATGCTTCTTGCTGCAACATGCAGGCCGCCACCAAAGTTCAGAGTGTGGCAGAAAGCCACCTGTCGGTTGTAAGAAAAAGGCGTGAAATCAATCTGTGAAACTTAAACCATGACCGGCTCACTCCGAAAGAGCCCCTGCAGCCCCAGCAACACCATGCATTGGTTTTTGCTCCCTCCCATAATACAATGTTGGTGTGATGTCATATAGTATAATATAACATAATATGTTATATTATATTGAAGTTCACAGCCGCTCCTCAAGGACAGAACCTCCCGCCGAAGCTGTGGCGCGGGGCCGAACCCAAGAGGCCTCACGGGCATGACTTCGGGGCTACAGCTCGTCCACCGCTTGGCTTCAGGCTGGCTTAAAGCTTTGTGTGTTGGGGAACCTTTTCCCAAGAAGAACCACTGCTGCAGGACCTTTGTTGTCGGGGGATCGGGATTCTAGAAAGCATTCTGTAGAGGCATTCCCTTAACAGCTCTACGCAAACTTGCCATGTGATAGAAGGGAGCACGCTGGAGCGCTCGATCCATTCACACAACCCTTCAGGCTGCAGTCTTCGTCGGATCTAAGGCTGGGGCGCTCGAAGAGGCAAGGCTCCCCGCAGAGAGCACCAACATCTCTGAAAGCCTCGGGGAAACAAGCCCCCACTGCTCAACGTTCAGGAGCTGAGGGTGAATCGATTCAAGTGGTTTGGGGGAGCTCTTGAACCCAGTTGCTTACTGATGTTCTGAAGTCGACCTGCTTTGAAAGGCTAGAGCTAGAGTGCTGATGTCAATGTCAGCTGTTTCAAACGAGAGACAGCACCTCCACATAAACATTTGCTGCCAAGCCTGCGCCTTGCGTGAAAAGCCAGCAGTTTTCGTACAAGCATCGAAGGAACAATCGACGAGCCCCTGTGGAGCTCAATCTTCCGAAATGCACAACCCACAGGTCCAAATCTTGAACAAAGCCCAAGTGCCTGAACTCCACATCTTCAACCCGAAGCCCCTAGAGCCTAAAACCTAAAACTTTGCAAAAAACCCTCAACGCCCCTACATCCATCGACCTGAAATTGTCAAGCCTAGGACCCCTGCCCTACACCCTCGAAGACACGACCGAATCACCAAATGAAAAATATGAAACGAACCCTAAACCCTAAACACTGCCTAAACACCTAAACCCTAAACCCCTAAACCCTAAACCCCTAAGCCCTATAAACCCAAAACCCGAAGAACGCACCAAAGCCCCAGAGCAGACAGAGCTCGGGGCCTCGGAAGGACGAGGCAAAGTGCCCGGCGCCCAGCAGAGGCCTTCGGCTTCCCCAGGCACCTGCAAGGCTTCGGCTTCGGGGTTTAGGGTTTAGATTCAGGGTTTAGGGTCTAGGGTTATGATTCAGGGTTGAGGGTTTAGGATTATGATTCAGGGTTTAGGGTTTATAGAGTTCAGGGTGTTAAGTTCAACTTCCGAGTTCCAAGGACTCAATGTGAATGCAGCCTCTGAGGAGTTCTAATTACAGGTCGTGTCTTTCGTTGGGCTCACAGCTGCAGGAGTTTGGAGATGTACAGTGTATGGAGTTCAACCATTCTTGTGAATTCAAACTAGCATCCCTGCCCAAGACTGCAGGGCTGGCATCTTCACTGACGGTGAGAGTTTTTCGAAAGTCTGTAAGTCAAGTCATCAGAGACTTTCACATGTCAAGCGCATTTTTCCCACTGCTGCTCGGCGACCTTGCTTCGAAGGCCGCAACTCTCACTTGGTCATGCATTTCCAGCTCTTCACACCGTGTATGAATCGTTGATGCTGTGCTTGCCTTCGTCCTACCTGCTACCTACAACCGAAGCGACGCATGATGGCTGGTCTGTTCGCGCCCCTATCGCCGATTCCACCGATGGCAGTCAGGCAATCTTTTGGAATGTGGATCGGAGTGTAATAACGGTACGTGGGAGAAGCCGGTGTCTAAACTGTTGCTTAATCCCATTGCCTCCATGCATCCTCGACTGCCCTTGGAAACCGATGTCCGTTCTGCACTGTATGTTGCATATGCCCAACTCCTGTCAAGTTGGGGCGGCCAGAACAGGATGTTCTTGGAAGCGGTTCAATATGCTCTCTACGCAGTTTTTTCCTGCAAGGCCGCGGGCCGACTTTCTGAATTTGTCCAAAGATATGTGCCTGAATATTGCCCGCTAGCAGGCAGCATGCATGCAAATTTGTTGCAAAGTGTTCAGGTGACGGCTCGATAGCCATGCGATGAGTGAAGTCAGACTGTCTACATGCTAGCCTCACAAGTCATAGAGTCGTCATTTAGGGGCCTAAATAATTACCTATGCTATTTTGAGGGTTCCTTATTATAATTCTAGTATAATGGGCCCCAAAACCCTATTCTAATTATTAAGGCGCCTATATTAATGTTTCTGGAAGGATCTTGGGACTCAGCAGCCGGCCACCTTACACTTTTGCAGAGCCAACGTGTGGCCGATTCCTCTCGTGGTTCGAATCTGAGTTCGAGCTGGAATTTGATAAAGGGGGCCTTCCAAAATCAAGACAATCATCTTATCTTTAAGGAGAAACTACAGTGAGAGGGATGATGCACAATGACATGCCCCCTGTTCTTTCTGTACCAAGCCGAACAGTGCAAAAAGCCCTCCTACTCAGCAGCAGGGGGAGCAACCAAGGCACGGCAACTGAGATGCAGACTGCAAAGGCACAACAAGGCCAAGCCAAACTATTGAGGCGCTTCTCTTCGGTTGAGTACGAGGTTTCGTATTCTAGACTCTCAGAGGCCGAATGTTTTTGTTTGTCTGGACTTGGGCCTTTCGATTCCAACGAAACGAACATTTCCATGTGTCGGAGATTGGTCCGACAGTTAGCGCGCTTCAACAAAAGCGTAGCCTCTGTACGCTACTTTGGAGTTGTCTAAGGTTTGGAGTCTGATTCGGTCCTTGTCTTCGGGAAACCCCAAGCTGAGCTCCAACAATGCTGCAATTGACATGTGCACGAGCAGCCCTTCGTTGGAGTTCACCCACGGCTCTGCGTCTCTGCAGAAATGGCGACCATGTCTATGTCTCTGCAGAAGCTCCATGACCAAGACCTTTAACTGGATGCAAAGAACTGATTCCGAAATCTGCATGCATCCGTGAACCGCCCAATGCAGCAACTAAAGTCCAAGCTCAAAGAGGTCAGGCTCCGGGGCAATCGACCAGCGAGCTCCTTCAGAGATGCATCAGTGAACTGCTCGTTATACGGAAAGTCCAGGCGCAAAGAGGTCAGGCTCTGGGGCAATCGACCAGCGAGCTCCTTCAGAGATGCATCCGTGAAGAGCCGACTCTGTCGAAAGTTCAAGCTCAAAAAGGTCAGGCTCTGCGGCAATTGAACCGCGAGCTTCTGCAGGGATGCATGCGAGAACTTGATGCTGTTCGAAAAACTCAAGCTCAAAGAGGTCAGGCTATGCGGCATTCGACCAGCAAAGACCTGCGTCGTGCATGGGTCCCGTTTCAGGTGTGCTCTACCGGTGGGTGGTCCGACAAAGCATTGCCTAGCCGCGAAGCATATTGGTATAGACCCCGAGGACTACAGCTTGAACCCACATCATTGCTTGGAACAAACAACTACATACCTGCAAGGTCTCGTCGGTCAGCTGCACGTCCCCCAGCAGATGTATTTTGAGCGTGTTATCCAAGGAGCCCTCCTGGGCATCAGCAAAATCTTCCTGCTTCTTCAAGATATTGAACTCCAGCGCCCGCGCCGTCGGCTTTGCTGCAAACTTGACCACACAGTCGTGAGGCTGTGCTGCCCGCCACAGTTGCCTGCAAAGTGCTATGCCTGCTATGGAAAAGCCCTCCAGCGCTGCTTCCAGCAGAGAGCAGATCTGGATCGGTGAGGTGGTCTCGTCCTGCAGCAGCGCCTGCCAGTCGAGGCTCCCAGCCAAATGCTCAGACTCGAATTGAAACCGCTGCAATTCGTTCTTGTAATTGGCTGCAGGCGCACCGCAGGCTTCCATTGCTTTCAGCAGGACTAGGCCGGCCCGAAGGAAGAGCACCAGAAAGGGCTGGAAGAGTTTGGAGGACTGCTCCCGAAGCCCAGCCAGGCAGGCCTCGTAGAC